TGCAAAAAAAAAAAAAAAAAAGACAAGATACTGTTAATGAAAATATGAACAGAACCCACCGAGAACCTACTGGAAGCAAATAGAGATTCACTGGATTTGTTTAACTCATTTACTCTCTCACAGTGAAATCTAGATAAATATGAAAACAATCTCCAGGCGGCATAACTGGGAGCCTGAGACTTCAGAAAACTCACCTTGGCAACGTAATCCAGGAGATTCCCAAGTGCCCAGGGGGGTGCAGCTCGACACAGTATCTTCCACGACCTGGAAAAATCCTTCTTTGCAGCTATAACGGACCTGGCTGCCCAGCCGTGAGCTGTAATTTCCTATAATGTAGCCACCGGGGACCTCTGGAGGGGGGCCGCAGTCTATTTCTGAAAACCAGTATGTGTCAAATGTATTAGCATGTGAATATAAATTTTCAAAACTCACAATCTTTCTCCACTTCCCCATTCCTCCCATCCACATCCCAGCCCCTATTTCAAGTACATTTGTCCATTTCCACCTGACGTCTAGGCATATTGCCAATGGTGGTTTTTATTCACTCCTTTGACCTTCCATAGGTAATAGCATCTACAATGAACAATCCTGAAAAAAATTAGCAATCAACACTCACTAATTTATACTAACTAAAGAAATGCCTAGCTCAATAAAGTAAAAACTTTCGATTGCAAAATACCTTAAGATTCATGAACATTTATAATTTCAGGGTCATTTTTGTGATGCTGGGGTTTTACTACAGGACCTGTGTTTATACCATCTACCATAGTGTTAATATCAAAATATCTATTAAGCCAGGTATGGTGGTGCATGACTATAATCCCAGTACTCAGGAGGCTGAGGCAGGAGGATCACTGCGAGTTTGAAGCCAGCCTGGGCTACATAATGGATTCAAGGTCGGCCTGAATTACACAGCAAGACCCTATCTCAAAAAAAAAAAAAAAAAATCTATTAACTTTTAGGCATGGTGCTGGCAGGCTGAGGCAGGAGCACTGGAAATTCAAGCCCAACCTGGGTAACTTAGGGCCTTAGCAAGATCTTGTCTAAAAAGTAGAAACTTATTTTTAAAAAAGGGCTGGCAGGGGGAGGGATGAGGATATAGGCCTTGGATTCAATCCTCAGTAGGGAAAAAAAAATTAACGGCTAAAATACTTAGTGTTTACTAATTTTCGCTTTTCTCATATAACCTCTTGAACCCTGATTAGGTTATACAAATATGCAAAAGAACAGACAATCTACAGACCTATGAACACCAGAGCGTAAGACAGTGACAGTCTCAGAATTCACCGTGCGATGAGGCATTCGTTCACTGACACGCACCTGTGCATGACGTGGCATCTCTGCTCGGGTGGAAAGGCACGGGCCCACTCCTGGGCAAATATCCATCCATGCAGTAGCACTCAAAGCTTCCGTGAGTGTTGACGCACCGGCCTCCTGGCCTGCACAGGCCAGGACCTTCACACTCATCTGTGTCTTAAGGCCCGTCCCAAACACAAGGAAAGGAGAGAAGAACAGAAAGAAAAGGAAAGAGAGGACACTGTGACAGCCATTTTTCTCATATCATCTACCGGTCCTTATACACGGATGTTCATTTGCGATTGTATCATGCTTTTTATTTTACTCCCTAATGGTGCGTCTCATATACTCTTCACTCAATAGGCACAGAAAGAAAACAAAGGAGGTGCTCAATAAATAGCTGTGAAATGTGTCCTGGGAATTAGCAAACATTAACAAGCATTCCAAGTTCCCTGATGCCAATGAAAAGAACTCAAAACAGTATGTTAAAAAAATCTTACTGTAAAATAAAGATGATCCCAATCTCACATAAAATGTCTAAAGTGGCCAGGCGTAGTGGTACATGCCTGTAATCCCAGCACTCAGGAGGCTGAAGCAGGAGGATCGCCATGAGTTTGAGGCCAGCCTGGACTACACAGCAAGACCTTGTTTCAAAAAATCAATGCCACCCCCCCAAAAAAAAAATCTAAAATGGAGCTCCAAATATAAAACAATTTATACTAGCATGGAAAATGCCAGCAATTGACAAATGGATTTCCAGCTCTTGAGTATGTGATGGTATGTCAAGCAGTAAGGGAGAAGTGGAGGGACTTAGTTACATTCCCAAGACTGGAATAGTATAAAACAGGCTTCGGGAAGGACTTTTCCCTTGATTATAGACTGCCAAAGACATCATGCACACTGTCAAAAACTGTACAAAAGGTCAGAGACTGGAGAAGAAACCTCCCTGCCACTGAGCAGGTTTATTCCCAGAACTGGTTTGAGAAACTGAAGAATCCCATCAGAACCACACACACACACACACACACACACACACACACACACACACACACACACGAGAAAAAAGCCCTGATAAAAATGGCACTCTTCCTAGATATCCATGAGGACTGTGGGAGGGTGGGGAGATGGTTGTTCTTTAGCTGCTCCTGGACTGGGATTTCAAGGCACCTTTGACAGAACTAACATAAAAACACCTACATTCCTTCCCCACCCCCCCAGTACTGGGGATTGGACCTAGCTAGGGTCTTTGCACTGAGCTACAACCCTAGGTTTTTGGGTTTTTGTTTTTTGTTTTTGAGACAAGGTTTTGCTAAGTTGCTCAAATGCCCAGATCAAGCTCAAACTTTTGATACTCATGCCTTAGCCTTCCAGAGTGCTGGGATGACCAGCACACCCAGCCACTACACCCAGCAAAATGGCCAATATTTTATTTTGCCAGAAACAATCTTTTATTATGTTTTTTTTTGTTTTTGTCTTTTTGAGACAGGGTCTTGCTCTGCAGTTCAGGCTGGCCTTGACCTCACTTTGTAGCCCAGGCTGGTCTCGAACTCGCCGTGATCCTCCTGCCTCAGCCTCCTGAGTGCTGGGATTACAGGTGTGTGCCGCATGCCTGGCCAACAATCTTGTTTTGAAATCTCAAATAAACTACTAACACTGTAATTACATAAAAGAAAGGACACTTTCATGCCCCAAAATAAGAAAGAAAATAGAAACCTTGGAGTCCTTTTTAAATGTTTAGTATGGTCTTATAAAAATTCACAATCATCGCCTATTTTCTTTTGATCTTGGGCCAATGAACACCTCGCGGGTCACAATGGTCATGATGTGGGAATCAGCAGTTCACTCCACTGCTCGCAGGGCCCACACAAGCCAGCAGTTGTGAGCAGGCCACACCTTTAGTTCAGCACTATAAGCAATGCTTTGTGGGCAATCGACTGCAAAGATGGCGGCCTACAATCCCTCCTCTCCCTTTCTTGCGTGCTATTTCTCAAGACAGGATCCTGGTTTGATCCTTAGCATCAAAAAGAAACAAAGAAAGGAGTGCAATCTGTTCACCTTCCTCTGCCCGCTCCCCTTAGGCTGGTCTTGAGACTTGTTTTGGCCAACAGAGCACAGCAGAAGTAACCCCAGACCTGTTGGGCCTCACCTGTAAGGAGGCCGGCAACCTCCTTCTTCCTGCTGTCGAAATTTAGTGGCCATGATGTCGAGAAGTTCAGGGTACTGTGCTGGGGAGAAAGGTCACTCGGGGGACCCTAAAGATGAGACACCATGTGCAGAGAGAGGCCATATGGATGAGAACAAAAGCACCCTGGGCCCTAGTCAGCATCAAGACATGAGACATGGGTGAGAGGCGTTCTCCGCCCTGAGGGCCCTGCCACAAGCCAAGTGTGTCCACACAAGTGACCCGCTCCAAGCAGATGGAACACAGCCACCTAGCCAGCCCAGCCAGGGGATGGTGGGAAGCAACAAACCATTGTTGCCAGCCACTATATTTGGGGGAGATGATTAGAGAAGTATACAGCATTAAATAACCAAGACACCACTGACATATGAAGAGATACACAAGTCCAAATACATGAGATTAAGAGGCCAATACATCAATTTTTTAAAAAAAGACTGCAAAAACAAGGAAATCAGCCGAGTGTGATGACGCACACCTCTAACTCCAGCACTCAGGAGGCTGAGGCAGAAGGCTCACCATAAATTCAAGGCCATCCTGAACTACATAGTGAGACCCATCTCAAAACACAAACAAATAAACAATCTTGGAAATTATACACAAAACGTGAATGCCAAAAATAATTTCATAGAGGCATTGAATAATAAGTTGGTCACCGTTAGAAAACAAATTTGCAAATCCCAACTTGAGGAATTCTCCAAAAACAAACTGAATTTAAAAAAAAAAAAAATGATGTAGGGTAAAAAATAATAGGACAAAAATAAAATGTTACAAAGATGGATGCAAAATATTTGATATCCATTTAGGAGGAATTGCAGAAGAGAAGGGAATGTACATATAAAAATTAACCCCCTAGTGGGGAAAAACACCCCTCAGTCTATACATCCAAATCCAGTCTTCAGGTGACAGACATGAATGCCAAAACCAAGCCATTCTGAGAGTAACACAGGGTACTGGCTGCAAAGTGAAGCTTCAGCTTGACCAGCAGGACGTCAGAAGAGCACTGACTCTGCCTTCTCCTGCTGCCTCTCTCTGGAGCTCCCTCACCTACCTCCAGGTGCCAGGGTCCCTTAGACCCACCCGTAACTTTTCCTGTCCCAAGTACAGGGCTCCTACCCATCCCTCTCCGCCCCCCAGGTAGACAGAGCAGAGATGTGGTTGCTAGGGAAGTCTTTGATAGAAAAGTCTCAGCCACTTAAAAACCTCAGTCTAGCTGGGCGTGGCAGTGCACACCAGTAATTCCAGCATTTGGGAGGCTGAGGCAGGAGGATTGTTGCAAGTTCCAGGCCAGCCTGGGCTACAAAGTGAGCTCAAAGCCAGCCTGAACTAAATAGCGAGACCCTGTCTCAAAAAAAAAAAAAAAAAAAAAAAAAACCCTCAATCTAACTAACACAAAGGTCACATATTGCACGATCCCATTTAGAGGAAGTCTCTAGAACAGGCAAATCCCCAGGGACAGAAAGTGGATTCAAGACTGCTTGGATCAATGGGGGGTGGGGTTTGGAGAAGTGACGGGTATGTGGTTTCTTTCGGGGAGATGAAAATTCTCTAAGTTCAGTAGTGCTATTTGTGGAATTCTGTGAATATATGAACCACCACTAAATTGTGTACTTTAAATGGGTACGTTTTCAGGGTATGTGAATTACACCTCTGTGAAGCTGTTATTTTTTTTTTTTATTTTAGAGAGAATAATAAAAAAGGAACAAGAGCAAAATTCCAACAACATAGAGAAAAACAAAACAAAGCAAAAACAATAAAAATGATACAGGGTTTCAGAACAAAATGATAGGAATTAATATGGCTGTTATATTACATATTGTTATCTTCAGCGAAGTTGCTCAGATTACCAGATGTAAGAATGCAAGATTAATCAAACCACTGAAGAGAATAAAAAAAATTTTAAAAAACATTAGAAATGATACGGAGTTTCAGTAGACAAGATGGTAGGAATTCACTAATGGTATTTATATTGCATATTGTTGTCTTCAAATTAGTTGTTCAGATTACCCAATATAAGCATGCAAAACTGGTCAAAAATTAAAAAAAAAAAATAGGCATTAACTGTTCTTTTCAATAAACTGTTAGACTTCAGCAGTACAGTCCCACATCCCAGTTGTTCCTTCCTTTGAGAAGTTTCTTTCCCTTTCATAATATCTATTGTACATTTTGAGTTTTATTTACTCTTTCAGGTACTTATACTAGGGAGACAATACGATGGGATTAGAAGTCCAACTTAACCCAGCTATTCCCCTTCTGGGTATTTTTCCAGAAGAATTAAAAACATCGTACCACAGTGATATATGTGCACCCATGTTTACAGCAGCACAGTTTGTCATAGCAAAATCTTGGAAACAACCCAAATGCCCATCAACTGAGGAATGGATAAAAACAATGTGGTATTTTTATACAATGAAGTATTACTCAGCTATAAAAAAAGATAAACTCAAGGCTTTTATAGGTAAATGGATGCAATAAGAGACCATACTCATAGGTGAGGGGGCTGGGGAATTAGCTCAGCAGCACAGCGCCTGCCTGGCAAGCACAACATCATGAGTTCAATTCCCGGTCCCAGAGAAAAACAAAAAAACAACATACTCATAGGTGAAATAAATCGGAAGCTGTTATTGTTTAAAAGCAGGGAATAGAGAGGCTGGGAATGTAGCTCAAGTAGCAGAGTGCTTGCCCGACATGTGTGAGGCTATGGGTTCCAGACCCAGCACCACAAAAACAAACAAACACACGGAATTCTAAAAGGGAAAATGAGGGCCATTCTGAATTCCATGGAATAAGAGAAATAAACCTACTGAGAAAAAGGAATGGTAACCTATGGGGATGAGACCCAATCTGACCCAGGACATCTTGTCCGAAATACTAAATGCTACCAGCAATGGAGTAATATTTATAGAGTTCTAAGAAAAGGGGAAAAAAAACATTATGCTCTATTTAAGCCAAGAAGTGACATTTTAGAATATGAATGATCTCAGAAATTACCCTGCTG